GTCCCCAAGACAATCCCTATTATTGGTTTTCGGGACCTAACTCCATAATAGTAGTATATCTGGACCCTCTAGGTAAGCTCCAAGGGTTTGAAAGCCTAAACCCTAAACCTTAAACCCTAAACCCTAAACCTTAAACCCTGAGCGCTCGACCCGAAACCTTAAACCCTCAACCCTAAACCCTAAACCCTAAACACCCCAAACAAGAGCCATAACTACAGAAGGTTTTACGGGGCCGCCAGTCGCGACGGCACGACTTCAGAGCTGGTCCTACTCTTTACAGTCGCATTATGCCTTAGGGTTGCTGTTTAAGGTTTAGGGTTTAGGGTTTAGGGTTTAGGGTTTAAGGTTTAGGGTTTAGGGTTTCAGAACCTTGGAGCTTACCATATATACTACTACCATTGTGGAGTTAGGTCCCAAAAACCATGGTCTTTGGGACCTAATTCCATAACGGTAGTGTATGTGGACCCTCTGGGTGATTATAAGCATGGTATAATAACATTCCCTCCTGCTCCGGCTGGAGGATCACGTGGCTGCGCTGCCTGCAGGAAGACGCAAAGATCCAAGCCAGAGGCTTTATGAGTCCATCGGCACGTCCCAGTGGCAGGTCGTCCGAGAGCTGCTCGTCACTGGACAGAAGGCAGACTGGAACCCAGCTGATCCTGAACTCCACGAATTGACAGTGTCGCTCTTCAAGGGTTCATGCAGCACGCGGGAGCCACTCGAACGAGCTTTCGGATGGCTAAAAGACAGCATGAGGGCCAGCAAGTCTTCGAAGGTGCCGGTCTGGACGAGATGGCTCTACTTGCTCATGAACCCGTACCCGAGAGAGGGCGGGATGCCGCAGATCTTCCCTTCCCCGGCTGACTTCCAGCAGCTCCTTGCCGATGGTTTCCAAGACGATGCTCTGCTGAGCGCCTGCCCTTTCAACCCTCTGTCCAGCACGTTAGGGGACGAGTTTCCCAGCCCGGACAAGGTGGAGGGAGTTCGGCCCGCCGGCTTCTTGGCCAACCGCGTGGCTGCAGCTGCTATGGCGCTGACAATGGCCACAGCTGGAAACAACTTTACAGACATCGACATCGACAACGCTTGGGCAGGTGAGGCAGACCAGGTGTCAGTCTTATACTTTGTGTTCTGGTTTTGAAAGCTGACACCTAGCCGCCGCTTTGTGGTTGGATGCCAGGTCAACTGTCCCACCCCCCTCCCCTAGGGATCAGGATTTAGACATTTTTTGAGGCGAGGCGATGCTCTAGAATACCCTTCATCTTTTCTGGCGATTGTGCTCTAGATTAAACCCTAAACCCTAAACCCTAAACCTTGTTTCACAAGAAGTGTCCAGTGTCCGTGCAATCGTTTCTGGCCAGGATGGATTTAAGGTCGACGGGTCAGGATTTAGGTCTCAGGGGTTTAGGATTTTAGGATTTGGGTCTTAGGGGTTTAGGGTTTAGGGTTTAGGGTTTTAGGGTTTAGGGTTTAGGGTTTAGGGTTTAGGGTTTAGGGGGAACTGCTGAGCCCTGAGCCCTAATTCCGAGACTACAGCAGAGCTCGGTACTCCGAAGCCGGAAGAAGAATCCCTAAACCCGAAAGCTCTAAACCCATAAGCCCTAAACCAGAAACCCTATACTAAAACTCTAAACCTTCAGCTCTAGACCCTAAAACTCTAAACCCTAAGCCCTGAAGCCCCTCAACCCTAAAGCCACGAAGGCCTTGAATCCCCAAAGCCCTAAAGGCCTTATAGCCCCGAGTCCTAAGCCCTTGAAGCCCTAAAAACCCTTAAAGCCCAAAGCCCTACAGCCCTAAAGCCCCAAAGCCCTAAAGCCCTTAAAAACCCATAAAAAGCCCCAAAGCCCATACAAAAAGGTTCTCAAGCCCACAAGCAGCCTTAAAGTTCATAAAAATCCTTAAAAACCCAGAAAGATCGACCCTGGGGGTTTAGGGTTTAGGGCGCCCGAGGTCTCCTCCAAGTGCGCGAGGATCCGCGCTTTGCTGCTCGGCAGAACCCAGACCGCTCCGATTAGTGAACATACCGTAGTTTGTAGTAGGACCTAAACCCTAAACCCCAACCCTAAACCCTAAATCCCATGATTTTCGGGAAAATCATAGGTCTTGCAGTTTCAGTCTTTCATGAAGTCGAAACTGAAAACTGAAGCCGAAGACCAGACCTCTCCTGAACTGAGGAAAGTCCTTACTCAAAGGAAACAAACCCTAAACCCTAAACCCTAAACCCTAAACCACAGGTGGGGAGTTTAACACGAGGGCTATACTGCCTTCGGATCCGAGGCTTGGTTTGTGTTTTTACTCGGCTTTAGGGGTTTGGGTTTAGGGGTTTAGGGTTTAGGGTTTAGGGTTTAGGGTTTAGGGTTTAGGGTTTAGGGTTTAGGGGTTTAGGGGTTTAGGGTTTAGGGTATATTGGACTCCTATAAAGCTTCCATAAAGTATATAGACTTTCTGTAAGGCTCCTATAACGGTACCTACCCACCTGAAAATGTCCTAGACTTGATTAAGGGATGAGGGCTTAAAGCGATTGTTGCCTATGAATTCTGCAGGTTTCCTTTACGGGTTCCTTTCAGGATGTGATAGGGCATTTCCATCGAGTTTTGTCATAGCTTTCATGTAGGCTTTTTTTTTTACGGATACGGATATGTTGAGAGCGCTTGAAGGTTTCGGGTTTAGAGCCGTTGAGGGTCTGAGGTTTCGTCGGGTACAGAGACGGATTCCGTAAGATCTAGGTTTTTTCTGCAGTGAAAGCGACTTTGGAGGTTTTGGCCATGGAGTTCAATATGACGATGACTTTGGGGGTGCAGGATTTAGAATGTACAGGGTCCAGGGTTTCGGCGTTTGAGTTTATGACCCTAAACCCTAAACTATGGTTTCTAGAGGGTTTGGATGATGGGAATGGAGACGGTGTGAGGCTAATATAGGGGCCTTAATAATTAGAAGAGGGTTTTGGGGTATATTATAGTACACTATAATTACAATAAGGAACCCCCAAAATAGTACTGGTAATATTTAGGCCCCTACATTAGCGTTGATGGCGATGATGGCCGGCTTATGGTGAGATGCTGCTGGTGACGATGAGCAGAACGATGCGGAAGCTGATGAAGTGGCGTTGCGGATCATGTTGAGGTTGCTCTGGTTGTTGCTTTTGTTTTGGTTTCGGGTTTAGATGGATTTAGGACTTAGGGTCAGGGTTGGTGGTGGTGGTGCTGCTGGTGGTGGTGGTGGTGGTGGTGGTTGGGGGGAGGTGTGCTCGTGCTGCTGTACTGGTGTTCATGAGTCCTGGGCATGACCACGACACGTCATGCAAGCAGTCCTACAGCCCACAAGGCCTTTCAGCCCGAAATCCAAGATCCACCCATGAGAAATCCGACACCCCGGAAGGGCTCCAAATCCCAAGCCGTGGATCCCGAACCCCCAAACCTTGAACACTCCAAAGCCCTAAAGCCTCGACTCCTGAACTGATAAAGCACTATCAGTACTGAGAAGCCCTATGAACTTGAAACCCCCCCAACCCTACCCTAAACCCTAAACCGTAAACCCTAAACCCTAAACCCCTGGACCCTAAAGCCGACAAAAAAACAACGACAAATACCTCAAACCTCCGCCCCGAAGCTGTTCCAAGGTCGCACTCCTGGGGGAAGTAGACCTTAGCTGGGAGGACTGCGTGGAGAACGCCGCTGACCTTGCCACAGGCCTGGGGAAGGTTTCTTCTTGCAGGGGTCTACTTGCGGGATCATGGGACTTAGTACATAAGTGTTGCATTAAGGTTATAAGTACCCTTATCAGGATTAGTATAAAGTCTTAAGTACCCTGATTAGGGTTAGTAGTTATCCTTTAATACCCTAAACCCTAAACCCTAAACCCTAAACCCTAAACCTATTATATTATAACCCTCGTTATTAAGTCCCATGATCCTTTAAGTAGAGCTGCAGGCTCCAACAGCCCAGCCTCAAACCCGGGTTTAGGGTTTAGGGTTTAGGGTTTAGGGTTTAGGGTTGAGGGATGGATGAAGATATGTCAGGTTATCAGGGCTCCCCGAGTGCGGTTCATGCCCTGGAGATCATAAGTTAGGGCGTTTTTTGGGGTTTCAGATCCCATAAGCCCTAAGGCCCCAAGGTCCAGGCCTGGCAAGGCTTACAACACTTATCAGGTTTAGGGTTTAGGGTTCAGGGTTAGGGCAGGCCCACGAAGCTCCTTATAAGCCTTACAACATGTATCAGGTTTTAAGCCCCGAAGCAAAAATGCGAACTATCCAGTTTTCGCAGACCGCGATCTCTAGGCCCAGGCACCTCAAAAAGCTCAGATCGTTTTGGGGGCTGGGGGTTCAAGATGGTGTGCGTAAGGTTGTAGGGCATTGGGCTTCGGGTTTAGGGTTTAGGGTTTAGGGTTTAGGGTTTAGGGTTTAGGGTTGTAGGGCATTGGGCTTCTCAACTTGTTCAGGACGCAGCCTTGTCTAGACCGGCAGAGGTGAGGGCTTATAAGGTTGAGTTATGGGGTTTAGGGTTTAGGGTTTAGGATTTAGGGTGGTGCTAGGGTTTAGTTTTGAGTTTTAGCGGCTTACGGTTGGGCGTTTAGCGATCAGGCGTTTCGGGTTTAAGGCTGGGGTGTATTGGGGTGCATGTCTCAGCCACTTCCTGGCTTTCTCGTCCATCAAACACCACAGAAAGAACGCATCCCTCAACCCGACTAAAGGGCCCGAAATAATTACCAATACTTGCTAATTTTGGGGGGTTGGTTATAGTATAATGAGCCCTATATTCATCCCTGTGAGTTTCGGAAACGACCGGACCAGACCGTTGCTCGAAATCGTAACCTTAGTTCTTAGAGCTTACTTCCATTGGCAGGATTCCTCCTACATGGAAGTTCATGGGACTTTGTAAGTAGGGCTTTAAGCACCTCAAGTGAGCTTCTTAGTATTTGTAGGCAAAGTTACCTTATGTGTATATATATATATATATGTAACCCTAGATGCCAGGTCCCATGATCCCTTAACCAGTGCCCAGGTATCGATCCTGCCAGCATCTGGGCGCACAGAGCGGGCAGACTTCGGTTTTGTCAGTGCGGTTAATACACCCTAAACCCTAAACCCTAAACCCTCAAACCCCTCAACCCTAAACCCTAAACCCTAAACCTAAACCCTAAACCCTCAACCCTAAACGCTAAACCCTAGAGCCCTCAACCCTAAACGCTAAACCCTAGAACCCTCAACCC